GAAGATAAGGTATGTTCCATGACTAGGTATGTCAGATACTAGGCTTGTTCATGACTAGTGATGCCCTTCATACTAGGTTATTTGTTCATACTAGGTATGTTCATACTAGGTATGTTCATACTAGGTATGTTCATACTAGGTATGTTCATACTAGGTATGTTCATACTAGGTATGTTCATACTGGTATGTTATACTAGGTATGTTCATACTGGTATGTTCATACTAGTATGTTCATACTAGTATGTTCATACTGAGGTATGTTCTATTAACTAGGTATGTATCATACTGAACGAATCATGTTCATATTGGGTGCTAACGGATGAAATCAATATTTCCACGGGCAGTCTATGTTGCCCTGTGAACGGTGCTGCCGCGCAGTATAAATATGGCTCCTACAATGATTGGCCACCAGGGGTTATAGCAAATTCGATGTAAAGGTCTTCCTCCGCTAAAATTCAGCATTCTTGGACAATGACGAAGCGTCTACTGAGGGATTACATTGATGTTTTTACAGCTCAGTAATAACCAGTAATCAGAAGTAAATCAGAAGTAAATCAGAAGTAAATCAGAAGTAATCAGAAGTAATTATTGACCGCTTGCTCGGGCAACATGAGTTTGGCAGACCACAAAAATCAATGTTGCCTTAAATTTAACGGCTAGATGGTAATTGAACATACATGTTTATATATGGTATACGTGTTTATACATGTATATATATACTAGCGGGATACCCGGCGTTGCCCGGGGCCGGTGAAATCAGTGGCGTTACTCAGTTGGTGACCGCTTGGTTGAAAGGAAAATAACCAAAAAAATCGAACTATCTATCTATCCATGAATCCATACCATGCCATCATCCATTGGATTCCATGCCAATCCATCCCCACGTCGCACCGCATCCAATCCCATCCCTTATCCCATCGCATTGCAATTCTGCATCGCATCTCAAGGCCATGCCGATGCCAAATGCCATGGCCATGCCATCCATCCCAATCGTACCGCATGCTCATCCCATTCCCAATCCTATCCCATGAATATCCCAATGCCATCCCATCCCATCCCATCGCATGCCCATCCCCCATCCCATCTCCAACAGTAAAAAATAATAATACTAGTTATCAATAATATATTAAGAATTCAAAAAGATAAAATTCAAAAATTAAAACGTTTAAATGTGGTAAAAACCATGTGGTAAAAACAAAAATTTTGAAATTAAAACGGTGAATACTGGTAGAAAGTACATACTAAACAGTCGCAAAAGTAAAGAAACAAAGCATTCCCGAGGTACGGATTCGAAGCCGAGAGTCAATGTTTATGGAGTCCGATGCTTTATCCATTATCGCTACGTGGCCGGCTTATGGTTATACACGCATGGATTGACACGTACGGTGATGTATAATGTAATCTGTACGCCATCTATTGATGAAATAGATTTTTATAAATATTTTTAACTTTTTTAAACTTTTTTGAAAATTTTGAAATGGTTTTGTTTTAGCCAAACCACCTCGCCAAGACGTGCTGATTCTGAAGAATATATGTTAGTTTTCCTCTAGGCCTGCTGGAGTTCTCTAGTTATCGCGAACACACAAATTCGGTCTGAACAACTTTATATATATATGATTATATATATATAATATATAATCAAGAGTGTATAAAGAAGGTAATTAGAGAAGGCTCTAATTATAGAGAAGGCTCCTTCTTAATACGCTCTAATATCTCATATATATAAAGTTGTTCCAAAGGCCGAATTGTGTTTCGCGGCATAAACTAGAGAACATCCGCAGCCTAGAGGACAACTAAAGAATTATTTTCAGAATCAGCATGTCTGGGAGCTAGTTCGGCTGAAAAATTTAAAAAAGTTAAAAAGTTAAACATTCATAAAAAATTCTATGATCATAGATGGCCGCTCACGTACGTACAACAATAAGACATCAGCGTCTGATCCATGATGTATAAACGTTAAAATAAAAATTTGGGCGGGCAGTGGGCTCATCAGTACAAACATCGCGTCGGATTTCGGGTTTCGAGTCCCAGCTGGGAACCCACTTATTTTTTCCTTTTTTCCTTTACCTACCTCTTTAGTATGTATTATTTTAAATTTGTTAATTTAATTTTTATTTATTTAATATAATTTAATTTATTATTTTTAGTTTATTAATTATTTATTTTTAATGTTTTTATCTTTTGATTTCTTTATTATTTTTTATCTGTTGGGATGGGATGGGATGGGATGGCATCTGAATGTGATGAGATGGGATGGGATTATGGGTATGGGATGCAGGTGGCGATGTGGATGGGATGGCATGGAATGGATGGATGATGGATGCATGGACTGGATGCAATGGATAGATAGATAGTTAGATTTTTTTGGGGTATTCCTTTTGTTTTTTTTTTTTTTTTTTTTGTCACTTTTTTTTTTTTCTCATTTGTTTCAACCAAGTGGTCACCAGCTGAAGTAACGCCACTGATTTCTCCGGGCAAACCCGGTATCCCGCTAGTATATATATATATATAATCAAGCGTGTAATATAAGAAGGTAATTAGAGAAGCTCATAATTATAGAGAAGGCTGCATTACTTAAATACCTCTTTGATATAATATTATATATATATAGTATATATATATAATATTATATATATAATATCACATGTGAGAGAGAGAGCAGAAGAGAGAGACAGATAGAGAAAGAAAGAGATAAAAACAGAGATACCGATACAGAGATACAGAGTACATACACACGCGCACACATGTTTACCTTGCAGGTAGCATGATGAAGAACACCTTGCTACAGCTGTCCATGTTTACCTTGCAGGTAGCATGATGAAGCACACCTTGCTACAGCTGTCCATGTTTACCTTACAGGTAGCATGATAAAGCACACCTTGCTTCACCTGTCCATGTTTACCTTACAGGTAGCATGATGAAGCACACCTTGCTACACCTGTCCATGTTTACCTTACAGGTAGCATGATGAAGCACACCTTGCTACACATGTCCATGTTTACCTTGCAGGTAGCATGATGAAGAACACCTTGCTTCACCTGTGCATCTTCTTCATGGCGGTGGCGCTGTCTTCCACGCTGACTCGCCACCAGAACCTCAGAACACCTACGAGCGAATGCGAGGACAGACGCGACGTTCGCTTAGGCGAGGACAAACGTGACTACGTTCGCTTAGGCGAGGACAAACGTGACTACGTTCGCGTAGGCGAGGACAGACGTGACGTTCGCGTAGGCGAGGACAAACGTGACGTTCGCGTAGGCGAGGATAGACGTGACGTTCGCGTAGGCGAGAACAGACGTGACGTTCGTGTAGGCGAGGACAGACGTGACGTTCGCTTAGGCGAGGACAGACGTGACGTTCGCGTAGGCGAGGACAGACGTGACGTTCGCGTAGGCGAGGACAGACGTGACGTTCGCGTAGGCGAGGACAGACGTGACGTTCGCGTAGGCGAGGACAGACGTGACGTTCGCGTAGGCGAGGACAGACGTGACGTTCGCGTAGGCGAGGACAGACGTGACGTTCGCGTAGGCGAAGACAGACGTGACGTTCGCGTAGGGGAGGACGGACGCGAGGACAGACGTGACGAAAGAGTTGGAGAACTACGACGCGACGTTGGGGAAGATAGACGCGACGACAGACGTGACGAAAGAGTTGGGGAACTACGACGCGACGACAGACGTGACGAAAGAGTTGGGGAAGATAGACGCGACGAGACGTGACGAAAGAGTTGGAGAACTACGACGCGACGACAGACGTGACGAAAGAGTTGGGGAAGATAGACGCGACGACAGACGTGACGAAAGAGTTGGGGAACTACGACGCGACGACAGACGTGACGAAAGAGTTGGGGAAGATAGACGCGACGGACAGACGTGACGAAAGAGTTGGAGAACTACGACGCGACGACAGACGTGACGAAAGAGTTGGAACTACGACGCGACGACAGACGTGACGNGACAGACGTGACGAAAGAGTTGGAGAACTACGACGCGACGACAGACGTGACGAAAGAGTTGGAGAACTACGACGCGACGACAGACGTGACGAAAGAGTTGGAGAAGATAGACGCGAGGACAGACGTGACGAAAGAGTTGGAGAACTACGACGCGACGACAGACGTGACGAAAGAGTTGGAGAACTACGACGCGACGACAGACGTGACGAAAGAGTTGGAGAACTACGACGCGACGACAGACGTGACGAAAGAGTTGGGGAACTACGACGCGACGACAGACGTGACGAAAGAGTTGGGGAAGATAGACGCGACGACAGACGTGACGAAAGAGTTGGAGAAGATAGACGCGACGACAGACGTGACGAAAGAGTTGGGGAAGATAGACGCGACGACAGACGTGACGAAAGAGTTGGAGAACTACGACGCGACGACAGACGTGACGAAAGAGTTGGAGAAGATAGACGCGACGACAGACGTGACGAAAGAGTTGGCGAAGATAGACGCGACGACAGACGTGACGAAAGAGTTGGGGAAGAT